CAACATGTTCTCAGCACGCTGCATAACATGTCGCTTTCAAAAAAGACGTGTTCATAAACATACAGTATCAATGCATTCAGCAGACAATCAAATGACCACAAGATGGAGTCCTAGCTCCATGAACTACAGCACCCATAATGCACAGCTTCACCGCTTGACTACCTCCAGTCCACGATAACAAGAGAAACCCTTTTTTCTTTCCTTTAAAATGAGCATGTGTTGTAGAGAATTATAGATAATTACTAGGATTACTGCATCTGCTATGCTTTACACACTTTTGTGTGGCGTTCCTGTAGGAATAAACACACACAAAAAAATACACATATAAACTAAATCAATTATACAATGTAGAGTTTTTTTTACGTGATGCACAGCCGTTTCCTTCATAAAATGATTACAACATAAAGTAAAGAAAAAAAAAAAAAACACCAACCGTGTCAAAATTACATTTCTGGCTTTTTATGCAATTTTTTTTAAAATTAAATACTATTAATACATTTAGATTTAGAGAAAACCCATAAATAATAAATACACAAATATAAAGTTGTTATTATTTACAAAGAATTACATATTCTTTAGGTCTGTACACTCGAGGGTTATTCACCAAAGCATGAATGCAGCCAGATGGTTTTGCCCCATTCTGTACAGGGCCATTCAGACTGCAACATTTTGATGAATGTCTGAATTTTGCAACACAAGTCTGAGTTTTGCATAGATCTCAGCTGAAACGAACCTTGCGGGACTGCGGAAATCCAGACACAAAATCTTTAACCCCTTAAGGACACAACTTCTGGAATAAATTGAATCATGACGGAATATTTCCGTCATGTGTCCTTAAGCGGTTAAATCGTAAAAATTTTAGAAAATCCAAGCCAAATTGTTAAAAGCCCTCTGCAGTAAAATTATCTTTTTCTGCATGTTACTATTTTGAATGGCTTGTCTTGCGTATATTTATAAATTCATTTTTATATACTTGTACACTTATTAAATAGCCAAGCGGAAAAAATAAATTACAAGTCATCTATGTTGACCTTTGATTTGAAATTTACTTAGTATAACCCCAATTGTGTAATGCATAATAATATCATCTTATAAATGCCTTAACTTTTCTGCTACAAAATGTATTTTCATTACGTATCTTTAAGTTATCAGTGGCAATCTTAGGACAACAGGGTAAACTATATTGTATATCTGTTAACTATAGTTTTAGCTTATTTTGTTTTACGAATACAACTTATTCATACTAGCCTTTATTGATGACAGTGAGTGAAATTCTTGATGAACCAAATAGATTGGCAAAAGTAAGACTGATTACAGGTATAAAAAAAAATGCAATCAAAATTTTTTTTTTTTTTTTTTATATTTTCAACACATTGTTGGAATACAGACTCTGACATATTCAAACTGTATCAACCTTAATCATAGTAGACCTTTAATATTTGCAAATTACTTTGTTAACCAAACAATATGACATTGCATTTTAACATTTCATGTGATTTAACATGTTATTATATCGGCCCTTATAGCATGTGTACATTACCCTGTTTTTGCCTATGTTTCATTGATAACGGAGAAAGTTTGTGTCCTTGGGGGATGTGGTTGAAGGTGCGGCTAGGGGGTAAGGCAATTCTTGGTTATTTTCAGGCATCGACAATCTATTGAACTAAAAATTGCAATTTAGGCAAGACTAAACATATTATTTGCACTTGCAAATTTCTAATAATATTTATTCTAGTTTAGTCCATTTAAAGATAATGTGCTTCTTAAAGAAGAGGACTTAGGAGGGATGCAAACCAGGCATGACTAATGTCCAACATACCATATCCCCCCAACATTGCAGGGTATGATCAGGGCCGGTGCAAGGATTTTTGCCGCCCTAGGCAAAAGAAGGATTTGCCGCCCCCCCCCCCCGGAACATCGCAATGCCCCACCCATAGAACTAATGCCAGTGCTGCACACAGTGTGTGTTTACATTAAAAAGCCTGCAGGGACAAACTATAGACACCAGAACAACTTTATTAAGCTGCAGTGGTTCTGGGGACTATAGTGTCCATTTAATGTGAGGTAAATTAGAGATTAGTGTCACTAATAATATACTAGATTGCCTACTTACAACCAGATGAGGATGATGATGGGCTCTGGCTCCACTGGTCTGGTGTAGAACAGGATCTCTGGAGGCTGTTTGTAACTGTGGTCACAAAATTCAATGTTCTGGGAGAACGGGAAGCAGCTCCATTTTTTGGGGCCTCTTACACAGCTCAAGGTCTGGGCCCCAGGGCCTGACGGTGAGTATGCCCATAAGGCCCACCCATAAGTCCACCTACATGTTCCACCCATGAGTTCGCTCACAGGGAGTGGAGTGTGTAGGGGATGTGTTATGTGTTACTGTAGAGGATCTAATGTGTGTGCTTATGGAATGTAGTGTATAGGGATACCAGTTTGTGTAGGTGATGCAGTGTGTTTGTGTGTAGTGGAAGCGGTGTGTTTTTGTGTAAGGGATAGAAAGCAGTGAGTGTTTGTGTATAAGGGATGTATTGTGTGTTTCTTGTTGTGTGTAAGGGATGCATTGTGTGAATCTGTGTTTGTATGCATAAGGGATGCAAAGTGTGTTTCTGTGTATGTGTGTTTCTGTGGATGCGGTGTGTGTGTCTGTAAGGGGTGCGTTGAGTGTGTGTAAGAGATGCATTGTGTTTCTGTGTGTGTGTAAGGAATGCATTGTGTGTTTCTGTGTATATGTGCAAATGATGCATTGTCTTTATGTGTAAGGGTTGCATTGTGTGTTTTTCTGTGTGTAAGGGAAGCATGTTGTGTTTCTGTGTGTATAGGGATGCATTGTGTGTGTGTGTGTGTGTGTGTGTGTGCGTGCGTGCGCGCGCGTGGTGTGAAAGAGCTCCCTGTCCCCCTGTCCTATAGAGCTCTCCCTTCCATTCCTTAGAGATCTCCCCTGCCCCTTAGTGGTCTCTCCTTTCCCCCCCACCTCCCTTAGTGGTCTCCTTTTCTCCCCGACATTCCATTAGTGGTCTCTCCTCTCCCCCCACCCTTCCCTAGTGGTCTATCCTCCACCCCCCTCCCTTAGCGGTCTCTCCACCGCCCCCTCCCTCCTTTAGTGGTCTCTCCCTCCCCTACGTTCTCATCTCCCACCCCTTGTGTTCTCCTCTTATTCCCCCCCTCCCTGTGTTTTCCTCTTATTCCCCCCTCCCTGTGTTCTCCTCTTCTTCTCCCCCTGTAATCTTCTCTTCTTCTCCCCCCTCCCTGTAATCTTCTCCCCTCCCCCTTGTAATCTTCTCCCCCCTTCCCTCCCTGTAATCGCTGCTTCTCCCCCCGTAATCTTCTCTTCTTCTCCCCCCATAATCTTCTCTTCTTCTCCCCCCCAATCTTCTCCCCCCTCCCATCAATCATCTCCCCCCCACTTCCCTCCCATCAATCATCTCCCCCCCTCCTTCCCTCCCATCAATCATCTCCCCCCTCCCTCTCTCTTATCAAATCTCCCTCCCCTCAATCATCTCCCCATCAATCTCCCCCTCCTCCCTCCCATCAATCTCCCCCTCCTCCCATCAATCCATCCCCCCTCCCTCCCCTCAATCATCCTCCCCTCCCTCCCCATCAATCATCTCCCCCCCTCCCTACCCATCAATCATCTCCCCCCCCTCTCCCCTCCCCATCAATCATCTCCCCTCCCCCATCAATCATCCTCCCCCCCTCCCCATCAATCTTTCCCCCACCTCCTCCCCATCAGCCTCCCCCTCCCATCAATCATCTCCCCCATCAATCATCCTCCCCCCTCCTCCCCATCAATCATCTCCCCCTCCTCCCCATCAATCATTTCCCCCACTCCATCAATCATTTCCTCCCATCCAATCATTTCCCCCTCCCTCCCCCCAGCATCTCCTCACCTCACCTCCCCTGCCCTGTAGCGTGGCCGAGCTCCTTTCCGGTCCCGCGACCCGGCGGGACTGACAGGAAGTGCACACTGTGTGTGCACTTCCTTTGAGTCCCGCCGGGTCGCGGGACCGGAAAGGAGCTCGGCCACGCTACAGCAGGGCAGGGGAGGTGAGGCACTGTGGCAGCCGCCTGAGCGCTCTCTATAGAGCGATCAGGCGGCTGCAGAATTTAAAGGGCCAGCGATGGGGGCGCAGGGCGCCCCCTCCTATATGGCGCCCTAGGCGGCTGCCTAGTTCACCTTATAGGAAGCGCCGGCCCTGGGTATGATATTGTGAAGAGAGGGGTTGCATTGGTCCTAGTTAAACTGGGGAGGATGCCAAAGATGCACTGCCATGAGAGTAGGATGATGGGCAGCCCTGCAGATAGGTATTACATTATTATTTATAGTAGTTTGTATAATAATATAGATAAGAATTGGCCTCATTCATTGATACATATTTTAAAAGTGGAACCATAACTTTTTTTGGTAAATTATACCATTGAGTAAAACAATGCAAATTGCCTATTACTCGTATTAACCTTTTTCCCATGTGATGCTTCATTTTCTTTCAAATGTATATTGAGATTTAACAATTAATATCACAATCCAGTTAAGTCCAGGCACACAGGTACAAAACAAGATACGCTGTGAATGAGCAGGACAAATGTTCGATAAGCTCATCAGATAAACTTACAAATTGAGCGTAAAGCGCTGGATTATCAGCAGGTTACTGTTACCAGCTTTGTATTTTTTCAACCGGGAGACCCAGGTCTGCCAAAATAAAGAGAGGTTTCCTGTTTTCTCTGCAATTGTGGCCTACTAGCCTGTCCTGAATGGGGAAGGTGGTCTATTTCCTGCTTAGGGACGATATACCACTAGCAACATGACCCCCTTCCTTTGGACCAGTGGGGTATTACATGGTCCATCAATACCTCTTCAGCAATCCGGGGCAACTCAGACTCTATGCCCTACCTGATATTCAGTTGTCAGAGCTGTCTATTCAGATGCCACAAACCAAAATAAAATATAAAGAGGATACAGCTGTGAATCTACAAAAAAAGAACTCTAATATTGTGTAATACAGTACAGCACATAAGTATGGACCAGCCAGAAATGCAATCACTAGAAGGTAGATGGTTATGTCGCCTTTGGTGCATTCACTTTAAATCCTGGGGTCTAGTCCACGTCTCTTCCCCTGTTGGCAGCGGTCTCTACACACCAAGGAGAGCCGGACTCCAAATTTCTTCCAAAAAGGTAAGTATTTATTGGTTGTAAACAAATTGAAGTAATAAAATTGGTTTAAAATAATTACGTTTCGTTCCCAGGTGGGGCTTCCTCATGGACCAAAAAAGTGAGAACATAAAATCAAGATAATATAATAACAACAATTTCCCCAAGTGGAAAAAATGCAGAATACATTCCTCCCCCCATGTCCATGCTTTTATAGGGCTTGTCCTTAATCCTCATTGGTGGTCCAGAGGGTGGTAACCCTCTAGCCCATCTGAATTTGATCCTCTCTGTTTCAGATGCCCGCCAGTTCCACTCTTGCTGCACGATCCTGATAAACATCATAAAAGGCCCCTTGAGGCCTCTTAAAAGGCCTTTGAGTTCCTCTATGAGGCATTTTGGGTGCAGCTGCAAAGTAAGAAAAACCCTGCAGAGCCCGTACACATTTAGATGGATTGCTCTCTGCTCTGGGGACCTGAGCAGGATGTGCTGACTTTCTGTAGGATGCGGGCATCTGGAGAGTCAGTCCCTTTTCCCTTCCATTCCCAAAGCATCCGAGGGGGCAAGCGCACACAACAGGCGAGGTGGATATGCCTTCACAGCCATAATGGCGACCTTTCGGCTCCAACATTGGCAAATATCTTGATGTCTGGAGCATCTCAACTAGGAAGCGCCGTGTTATCACCCGCAAGACTGCCTGGAGGCTGGTCGGAGACTCTTCCCAGGTTCTGTATTTACAGAAGAAAATGAAGGAAAGGGACCTCAGTTGAGAAAAAGGATAAATGAGTCATTTATTACACGTGAGTTTACAGAGGAAGAGGTTCTATTTCAACTGTCAAAAGTAAAGACAAATAAGTCAATGGGACCTGATGGAATACACCCAAAACTATTAAAAGAGCTTAGTGGTGTACTAGCAAAACCATTAACAGATTTATTTAACCAATCATTGTTAACAGGAGTAGTCCCAGAAGATTGGAAGTTAGCGAATGTTGTGCCCATTTACAAGAAAGGTAATAGGGAGGAGTCGGGCAACTATAGGCCAGTAAGCCTTACTTCAGTAGTGGGGAAAGTGATGGAAACCATGTTAAAGGATAGGATTGATGAACATCTAAAAACACATGGATTTCAAGATCAGAGACAACATGGGTTTACTTCAGGGAGATCATGCCAAACTAATCTTATTGATTTTTTTGATTGGGTAACTAAAATTATAGATCAGGGTGGTGCAGTAGACATTGCTTACCTAGATTTCAGTAAGGCTTTTGACACTGTTGCACATAGAAGGCTTATCAATAAACTGCAATCTTTAAGTTTGGATTCAAATATTGTTGAATGGGTAAGGCAGTGGCTGAGTGACAGGCAACAGAGGGTTGTAGTTAATGGAATATATTCGAAGCTTGGACTTGTCACCAGTGGGGTACCTCAGGGATCTGTACTTGGACCCATTCTCTTTAATATTTTTATTAGTGATATTGCAGAAGGTCTTGATGGTAAGGTATGTCTTTTTGCTGATGATACTAAGATATGTAACAGGGTTGATGTTCCAGGAGGATAAGCCAAATGACAAATGATTTAGGTAAACTAGAAAAATGGTCAGAATTGTGGCAACTGACATTTAATGTGGATAAGTGCAAGATAATGCATCTTGGATGTAAAAACCAAGGGCAGAGTACAGAATATTTGATAGAGTCCTAACCTCAACATCTGAGGAAAGGGATTTAGGGGTGATTATTTCTGATGACTTAAAGGTAGGCAGACAATGTAATAGAGCAGCAGGAAATGCTAGCAGAATGCTTGGTTGTATAGGGAGAGGTATTAGCAGTAGAAAGAGGGAAGTGCTCATGCCATTGTACAGAACACTGGTGAGACCTCACTTGGAGTATTGTACACAGTACTGGAGACCGTATCTTCAGAAGGATATTGATACCTTAGAGAGGGTTCAGAGAAGGGCTACTAAACTGGTTCATGGATTGCGGGATAAAACTTACCAGGAAAGGTTAAAGGATCTTAACATGTATAGCTTGGAGGAAAGACGAGACAGGGGGGATATGATAGAAACATTTAAATATATAAAGGGAATCAACACAGTAAAGGAGGAGACTATATTTAAAAGAAGAAAAACTACCACAACAAGAGGACATAGTCTTAAATTAGAGGGACAAAGGTTTAAAAATAATATCAGGAAGTATTACTTTACTGAGAGGGTAGTGGATGCATGGAATAGCCTTCCAGCTGAAGTGGTAGAGGTTAACACAGTAAAGGAGTTTAAGCATGCGTGGGATAGGCATAAGGCTATCCTAACTATAAGATAAGGCTAGGGACTAATGAAAGTATTTAGAAAATTGGGCAGACTAGATGGGCCGAATGGTTCTTATCTGCCGTCACATTCTATGTTTCTATGTTTCTACAGTTCTAGGTTTTGTGGCAGTGGTGATAGCGGGCTAAGAGGATTTTCAGCTGTCACACATTCTGTTTTCCCTAGGTGTCAGTTAACAGACCAAGGAATACATTTTCATGATTCTGAGTTGTGTCTTAAGCGTTTCTGCTATTTCTCATTCTATTTCTAATTTTACTTTTGCTTTTTCATTTAGCTTTCTGATATTTATGTCAGGTCACCTTGTTATTACATTTAATGTGGCTATGACTATGAGCCTAAATGCCTACATGTTATATAGAGGTATTCCTCCTACGTTAACGCCAGACCTATCTACCAGTGCATATATAGCGGGCACATTCTTTTATACTGTTCGTTGTGCACTGCTCAGTTTGCCTTCTATTTACCACACTTTAAATCTATAAAACGATGTATGAATACATGGTATGACGTTGAGTATTTTTCAATAATGTATTTTATTATGCATTTGCTGTTTGTATAAGACTTTGTGACATGTCCTGTATTTGCCTTTACTCTTGTATACTTTGTTTGTTGTTTGCATAACCTCAATAAAACATTGATTGACCAAAAAAAAAAAAAATACATCCTTTTGTTTAGAGAGAAAAAAAAGAACCAAACATATAGTGTTTGTACAGTCTGGAGAATGAGCTAAATATAAACAGTTTTACACTCAAATCTGTAAATTGAAATCAGGCATATCAGCATAATGATGGAGGAAAAACAGAAACACTGTCTTTCTTTCTCCTCCTCTTTGTATGTTCTCTCTGTGCTGTTTAGAAGGTTCTACAACCACCATGACCCCTTCAGTCATTTGGTGGTAGGGGTCAGAATGAGCAGTGTTTTAGCTTGAGATAGTGCATTTTCAATATCACAGGATAGAGTGCACAATTGAGAGCAAATGAGATAATAAGCTAAAACACCTGAGTGGAATCGATAAACCACCTCTATAAAGTAAACAATATATACATAAGGTGAAACTATAAGGCTGAAATACAATACGAGTCTGTAAGGATAGAAAAGTAAAAGAAAATAGTGCAATATTGTCAGAACAAGTAATATATAAATCAATAGTGATAAGAGTATAACGCACAATCGTAGAGCCATTAAAAACATATGACTCCAAAGGTAAGCGCAGATGGACAGTTAACAGGATGTCCACCTCCTGTTCTTGCTGATCCTGTATTTATAGTTCTGTCAGTAGAACACAGGGAGCACACAAGGACCATGTCCAAAGGATCTTTTATTGAATGCAGATAATAGTAGATAAAATCACAAATGTAATAAAAAAAACTTTAGAAAAAGTGCATAAATACCAAATGGTCCAAAGGTAATGTGGGAATATCGTTACTTTTCCACTTTTTTTTTTCTTTTGTTTATATTCTTGAATGCAAGCCCAATAATTTGTCCAATATTCCAAAACGCATTTCACCCCGATCGAGGTGCTTCTTCGGTTGGTTTTATTTCTATTCCAGGTCTTCCTCTCTTTAAAGTGACTGCTTTCTATATACTTCCGGTTCTTCATTTCCGGCGGGTCGTATTCCTCTGATGCTCCTATTCTTTCTTGGGACGCATCATGCATTCCAGCATACTTCACTAACGTATCCCCCATACGTCAGGGTGCAACATGAACCCACCTCTGGGGAGTCATTCCGGTGGCCGGAGTGGGAGGTTTTCCGGCGTACGCTCTTACGTTTTGTTTTACGCAGTGTTGTGCCCTGCATTCCACTTCAATGTTGACATATATTGGTGTCACACAAAAGTCCATATAATCAATTATTTTGTAAAAAGCCAGCAAAATCGTACAATTTAATATATTAAAAACACAAACATCTCTAATGGGAAAGAAGGGACAATGTTAGATAAAACTTCACATATATTGGGTTCACACAAAAGTCAACACACAACTTAATGTATTAAAAACATAATCTATAAAAAAAACATAGATATCTCTCAGGGAAAAGAAGGGACAATATTAGGTAAATAAGAAAAATACTGCATGTCAAAAAAATAAAATAAATGAGAGTTTATATAAAAAGATTTATTCCCTTTTTATTTGATTATATAAAAAAATAATTTTTTTTTTTTTTCTTCCCTGTCTCTCTTATTTTCTTTCTTCTTATATATTTAACTCATAAAATGACATAGCTCAAATTCCTGGTTAAAGCCTTGAGGAGTCATAGTGGTAAAATTTTAAATTTATTTCATCTCTTCCATGCCAATTTTCTTATTATATTCTCCCCCTCTTCATTCCTTTTTTACCAATTTTATTGCACAAAAGAACAGCCGTTCTGGATTTTGGTTGTGGAACATCTTGAAGTGATTGGAGACACTATGTGACTCCAACCCTTTCCTGATCTTCCTCACATACTCTGCTACCCTCACACCGGATGGTTCTCCCTATATATAGCAAATTGCAAGGGCAAGGGCATTTCAGTACATATGTTACTCCCTTCGAGTTAGGTGACCTCTAATTCTAAATTCCTTGTCAATATGTGGTTTCATGGCTTGTTTTTTGTTGGCCTACAGGCTAAACAAAGGCTACATGCATAGAAGCCTTTACTTCGGTTCAGAAAATTATTCTTAAATGCTGGGGGTTTAAAACTGCTTTGGACTAAAGTACTTTTTAAGTTAGCAATTATGGAGACCAGATACATAATGTGAAAATATAAGCTCTAGTATAAAGCCTCCATCCCATATTATTTCCATCCTCTATTATTTCCCAAGTCAAAGAATATCTGTATTTCATCAAAGCTTGTGTTGGTGAACTAGAAAACGTTCTAATTCAGGAACTATGGCAAACTATGTGTTTTCTGGTCATATCTCATCTAAAAAGCAAGTGATAGATTATATCCCATTGGTATCACACCACTGTCACTTTGAGACATGCCATCCCCTCTTATTCGGAATGTTCTGGAGATTGTTGGTCTTGCTATTTTCAATACATCGTTGGTCTTACTATTTTCGGTATCCATTTAGAGGATTGTTTTTGGTACATTTGGGGAGAATGTTATGTTGAGCCCTGAAGTGGCATGTTTATACCTACCCCCGTGCGGAGAAAAGATTTATTTCTATTGAAATCTCTCAACTTGATATGGCCTTG